ACTAAATAAATCCACACCAACTCTTCCTCCACCCATCCTAGCTACCAGCAAGCCTCCGACACCATCAATATGCAGATGCGCCGTCGCCAACCTCGTCCCTCCTTACTTACAACGATCTTCGAACCTTTTGCAGAGGCTATAGAGGTAGTGATGCACCAGTGAAAAAGGGGAAGGTCGATCTTTGAACTTGTTGACATGAAGAATGGATATGGATTAATTCGTTGATGATTTATTTTACGTGGATTTGATAAATTTGTGATTCTGAGAAGAGGAAGAATTCCACTCAATTCATCTTCGGTTTGGCTTTTGTAAACGATGAAGAGGAAAGAACCTTTTTTTGTCGGATGGATAAGGACAAAATGACCATTTTACAATTTTTTTATATTTTATATAAATAAAAAATCAACACATCTTTATTAATTTTTATAGCATGCCAAACATGTGTGCATACTATAAAAAATTTCATTGCATTATAATGCATTGCATCTTTCAAAGATTGGTAATTGAATCAAACGAGCTTTTAATTTATAAGGTTGCAAATTATGATTTATAAAATTTGTAAAAAATATGACAATTCTCACATTTGTGACATATAATATTAACACTATTAGAAAATAAGCCTTTTATGTTGCTAATTAATGTCAGTTTTATAAAAAATTGTATTAAAAAAAGGCAATGGCATAAATGTAATTATTTACAATAGTTTTAATATTGGTTAGATAAAAAACCAATGTAAATAAGTTTTTTCATGTTAGTTATACAAAAAAATAAAGTAAAAAAATTAAAAAACAAACAAACCTTTCACATCGGTTTTTTTGGAACCCAACATGGAAAACTTCACAAAATAAAAAAAAATTGAACTTTCCACGTCAACTTTTTCAAAAAAATAAAAAATACAAAAATTATAACTTTTTACATTGGTTTTTTTTATAAAAAACCAACGTAAAAAGTTCAAACGACATTAGTTGTGTTTAATAACTGATGTTGTTTCTCTTTTATATTTTTTTAACTGATTCAACACCTTATTTTATTTTTCAGTGTCTTTTACTCTTTCTTTTTCTCAGAAAACAGCTCTTTCAGACTCATAAACTGTCAAAAAGGTCTAATTTTTCATCATCATTATCGTCGACTTATGCCATTCTCTGTCAGTTCGGCGCCGTCACCATCCACCATTCTCCATTCACCATTGTTCACTGTTTTGAGTATTTTAAATGTTAGTGGGTTTCGTTATAGAGGTCCTTTTCTGCATTTTCTTTCCTTCCTTCTTCTATTGTTGATGATCTTCTTTTAATACATTTTCTTTTTAGGTTCTTCCATCTTCCTCCTCCTCCATTGTTTGGTTGGATGACTCTTTAGATACATTTTTTCTTAACTTTTTTAGATATGTGAGTGAACTCTTCTCTTCTCTCTTCTTTTTTTCTCACTTAAAGCTTCCACCTTTCTCCTCACCTTGCCATTCAACTTTTAGGTGTGGGTTATTCTCATCTTCTTCTGTCTTCCTCTTTCATTATATAGTCCTTGCAAACTCCATTGAGTCTTTATTTTTATTTATTTTTTTCAATTTTTATTCAATATTGGTATTATAGATAGTTGATTTAATTGAACATTTGTATAGTTAGATATTTTAATAGATGAATTTGTGCCTTTAAATCTTTATTTTAATTTTAAATTTATATTTTATGATAATTGGGTATTTGTATAAATGAATTTGGGTATTTAAATTGTTTGAATGCTTAGTTAACATTGCCATTGATGTTGGATTAATTATGTATATTTAAAGGTTTTAAATTCTGGATGTATAGAAAATTAAACAATTTTTTTTAAAAAATGCACTTTTAACAACAGTTATTTATAGATAACCGTTGTAAAAATTTTTTCACAATGACTTTTTAAATAACCATTGTTAAAAGTTTATTTTTTAAAAAAATTATTTTTATTTAGAGACTTTCCACGTCGGTTATGCAAATAACCGACATAAAAAGTCTTTTCCATATCAGTTAAAACAATGTGAAAAAGGTAATTTTTTTACTTTCCTTTAATAACTGACATAAAAAGTCCAAAATAACCATTACTAAAAGTACTTCTTATAGTAATGTAAGTTTTGATTTTTACAATCCATTTTATTCATATCCTTTCCAACAATAAAAGGACACCTAAATATCATCCAATGAAATTCAATTCTAAGAATCAATTCCACAAAAGAATCAAAACTTGACATGCTTTACCAAAAATATAACATAAAACTTGTGACATGTGTTATAAATTAATATATCATGAAGAGTACTATAATCCATCCCTTGTAGAGTTTTTGCTTGCCATGGAAAGGCATTCATTTTTCCCCCTAAAAAACATCCGCAGGTGACTTTTGATGGTAAGATTAATGTAAAATTCAAGGGAACAATATTAAATACAGAACTTAATTTTAATCTAACATCTTATTTTTTTGTCAATATTTTTATAAAGGACAATAATTAATAGGTTTAAAAGTCATACAAACACTACAAAAAATTGACTTTCAGTGGTGGCAAAAGTCACCATAATATCGTCGTAAGAGCTTTTGTCACTGATTCTATTTGTAACGACAATAAAAGTTGCCACTAAAAGTTAAAAATCAATAATAATAAAATTCACTATAAAAACCACATATCAGTGGCGACTATTTGGTCACTATTGAATGTTAAGCATCAGTGGCAATAATTGTCGCTGCAAAAACTATCAATCAACGGTGGCAAAAAAGTCAGTGCTAAAAAATAATATTAGTTTTACCCAACAAGTGTCGCCACCTCATCCATCCACGTGGAGCCCTTATCTCACACCACATTTCATCATTTCACTAATTTATATTTTCATTTTACAAGTTGTCTTTTTCAAGATTTGAATCCATGATTTCTTTCTTTAGTAATATATATATATATATATATATATTAGTAAACTATACAAACACACACACACACACACACATTAAATATTATAAAATTTCATTACTATCATTAAATACTTCAATTTATTTTTTTTAATTTATTCAAATTGCAAGTTATAAATATAGTTGATACAATATCATTTGTATTATTTTTTTAATTTTTTTACTTCTTAAGGTTATTATATTATTTATTTTAATGTTTATATTTATAATTATAATATAAAAAATTTCTAAGAATATATAGTAAAAATATAGATGATTATCTATTAGTTCATAATTATTTATTTTTCTAGCTAGTTTTATTTAAAATTTTATTTTTACTTTTAATTAACAATAATTCTTAAGGAATGTGATTGTCTTGTTTTCACATTACACTTTACTTTTTTAATTAATTTTCACTTTTAAAATATAATTTTATAAGAACATTATACATTATATCATCTAATTTTTTTTATATTTATATCGCAAGATAGCATCAAACAAAAAAAATTATATAGCATCACATACCTAGATATATATATTTCGTATATTGTAAAAGTTAAAAATAAAATTTTAAAATATCTCATTTTTTTTATCTTTTTTTCCTATCATTAGTCATCAAATTGAGAACATCTAAATTAACATCAAGCTCTAAAGTTATTAGTATTAAATATAAAATTTAAATTGAAAAATTATATTAGATAAAATATTATTTTATGAATAAATAAATTTAATCATCACATGTCTAATTATTATAAATAAGTAGTGTTATTATTTAAAATATTAATTTAATTATAAAATATTTGAAAATAGAAACTCATTACCACATTATATGCATTCCAAATTAAAAAAAAATTAAATATTATATTTTTGAATGAATTTATCATTTCATGTAGATTTGGTGTTATTTGAGTAAAACTAATTAATTAAACTGACCTAAATAGTTGTATTGAATTAAATCAAACATTACTCTATAGCAAAAATTGACATAAAATAATTGGTTTGGCTTAATTCTTTGCTCTTATTAGCATTAAATAATACCTTAACCTTATTTTAAAATAATTTTATTATTTTAAAGTTACAATTTAACTATAAAATATATTAAATAAAAACTCATTATGTTATTTTATATATTCATTATAAAATTATAATAATACAATAAAATTAATATCTTAAAAATTTAAATATTATATTAGACAAAAAATAAAAATAATGTTAAAAAAATAAAATTAAACTTTTAGCAGCGACAATATAAAGTCGCTGCTGATTGTCAACTTTTAGCGACAACTTATATGTCACTGCTAAAACTTACAACATATTTATTATAATGTTAGTTTTTAAAAAATTATAATACATTTTAAAATATATTGACAATTAGCGACGGCTTTAAAAAGTCACAGTTAATTGTCAACTTTTAGATGCAACTTTTATATCACTGCTAAAACTAAGACCATCAGTGGCGACATACATTTGCCATTGCTGAAAGTCTGACAATCAACGATGACTATATAATGTCATCGTAGAAAATCAAATTTTTAGCGGCAACTTTTTTTATTGTATAAGTAGATTGTTCATTTTCAGTAATGACTTTTTAAAGTCATTATTGAAAGTCACCACTTAACTTTTATTTTTTTATAAATTTAAATTTGGTACAAGTCAACATGAAGCCAATATAATTACGAGAGAATTATTGTTGGGTCCTAACAAAATTAAATTAATAACAATTAGATTCTCAATAAAATTTTTGAAAAATAAAATGTAAATTTTAATTTAAAGAGTTATGAACAGAAATTCATATTATAATTTAAAAGTTACATTCAATATTTAAATACTCATTTACAACTGAAACTATTGAATTTATAATATCTGAATCAATATCTTTGACTTATTTTTCAAAAAAATTGTCAAGAATTTAACTGTAATTAGTTTAATATTTTAGGACCTAACCATCATTCTCCTTGAAATTAATAATGGCGGTGTAGATGCTGGGTCATGTAATACGAGCGGTTCCTTAAACAGTGTTGAAGAGCAAGAATGCAAGTAAATGGCTGATCAATGCCCTATAGAGACGTCAGGATTATCGGTTGACAAAGTGGCGCAGTTCGGGGCTTCGAAGCTGTATTTGAAGTAGCAGAGCTAGAAATTAAGAATCAGAGCTAGATATGCATACAACGAGTGTATATCTTCCCAGGAGAGACGAAGGCAAACATAAAAATTGCATGCAAAGATAGCAGCGGGAAACAAACTGACGCTTCTGGAGATTATCAACGCGGCCAGCTACTTCACACACATATATAAAGGCTGTGTGCGTGCGTGTGTCGTCACCTAAACTGGGCTTCCAAACAAAACAAAAAGGAGAGAGTGACGCTGTCTTCTAAACCAAATTCTCGTGCCCATGTCCGCAGCCCCACTCGTATACAATAATATAAACCTTATCTCTCTGCCACTACCATGTTTTCAGAAGACTTCCAGGAAATTAAAGCAAAAGAAAAAAGGGCGACGCATCGCTCGCCAAGACCACATATAATGTCACCCAATTCTTGACTCCATCAGCGCTTGTCCTGTGTCCATGTGTGTGTGTGTGTGTGTGGTGCCGCGCTCTTAGACCCCAATATATACGGTGCCTTTGCAGCCGTTCCAATCTACCCCTGATCTGATAACTACAATCTCCAATACCAGAAGGCAAATCCTCATTCAAGCTACTTATTTTCACGGCAATCAGTGGTGCCGATCCCGGCTTCACTTTCCTCTATCTGCATCACTCCATCGCATAGGTCCCTTCTTCCATGTTGTGGCACTGTTGCCGACCAGAACCGGACCACCATAAACTATCCTTCATCCAGGGTTCGCTGCCAACCCAACATTGAGATCCTGACGAGAAACTTTTTGTGCTTTAATTTAACAGTCATATATGCTCCTTTATATACGTGCCTAGCATAAACTGCATGGGTTTCTCCTAGTGCTCCATTATGTTGTTAAGCCTAGCTAGCTTTTGAAGATGAAAAAATCTGTGAGAGATCAAAGTTCAGAATCATTTTAGACGGGATACACGTTACTGGTTCTCATTCTTTTATGTTCCTCCATATTCCTTGTTTTGGTTAATTTCCCAACTATATATGTACGCCGTAGCTTTCAAGCTAATGTCCCCAACTCCTCTTCATCAAACAGATCGGATTAATAGTCCTTCATTCTATCAAGTGGGACAGACAAAAGTTATTTCTTCTTTACATAAACACTCAATAGTGTCGCTCCTATTTGACTATCATACATATTTGCTTATACACGCCCCCTGCAGCGCTGAATGATTAAAATAACATGCGCAGAATTCAAAGAAGAGAAAAATAAGAAATGATGTGCCTTGAATAGTCACCTACCTGGTTTCTCTTAAAATGAGTGCAGTTCCATCTCAAACCTCGCTCACTTGCCCTAATCTGATCCCTCCTCATTTTAGTTAGTGAGACACGTGAACTTCAAATATTGTACTTTCTTCATGTAGAAGAGGACCCGCACCCAACCTATCTGTGTTAATGCGTGGATTCTCATTGAACGTGGGTGAACTAGAAGATGAACTTGGAGAGGGGGAGAGAGGACCCGATGTCCAGTCGTACGTGTATGTAAATCTGAAACTGAAAGTTACCGCTGCAAGATCCCAGTTCTCCCAATAGATACATACAGGTTGAAAGGAATGTGCAAGCAGGATGAAAAGGTCAGGCAAGCATTACCAAAGAATACATACGAGCCAAAAACATAATTGCAAAGAAAAGAATAACGACGGCATAAAATGAAAATAAAAACATGCTCAAAGCATTGAATATTGATAACAGGAAACGTGATATGTCATCATCACAACCATCATCAAAAGCACCGAAACCGCGTTTCGGTCACTTGAAATCTGAACACATCCCCATGCGTTGCCGTGTTAATTAAACATCCTTCGACAAACTCAGCCAATTAACGGGGAGAGAAACAACTAAGACAGCGAATCGTAAATTAAGGAATACATGGGTATTCCTTAAGGAAGCATACGCAGATCGGCTGGATTTTCCGTGTAAAGGTAGAGGTGAAAGTGCAAGTAGGGATGAGACTATATAAATCGGCTAGGTTAAGCGAAAGGAGGAAGGGGAAAATTGAAGAAAGCAAACCTGGTTTGATGGTCGGGAGACAGGATGAGACAGGTAGAGAGGATCTGCGAATCTGAGGAAGAGAAATGTACCGGTACTGGGTATGCCTGCATTCAGCAGGTGAAACTGCCGCATGATCTATTCTCACCTCAAATCAAGAGAAGCTAAGCTCAGATCATGCTGGCAGCTTCAACTGCTGCGGGTGCATATATGCGTGTGTGTATTGCCCTTGAATTAGGCTCTCGACCTCATATTCTTCTTCTGAAGTTGAGGAGTGCAGAGATGAGAGCGATGCGAGAGGAAGATATAGGCAAATAGCAAGCAAATTAAAGCGTAATAAAGTAGTGTATATATGTGGACAGTGGCTTTTTTTTTTTTTTTTTTTTTTGCTTTTGGTCCCCCGTTTGTTCGTGAATTTATTTATTTTGGGGCAGACACGGAGCATGAAGGATAAGCCACTCGTAGTAGTGAGTGGCTTTGTGTTACTGTTTGCAATGGCATCTCTCTGGAGTGATGGGATCAAGGATATCTCTGGAGTTTTGTTTAATGTCTGGGGTGGGCGGGCGGCTATATGTGGAGAAGTAAGTACATGGAGTCGAGTATTAATCAGCTAGTAGTGATCAATAATGAGGGATATAACCTGGCCTCGTACATGGTAAAAAGCAAGAAGCGGCGTAGGGGGGGCGAGTAATTGGAAGAAGCGAGGTCACAAGTCATAACTCATAAATGGAGGGAGAACCAAAAGCAGAAGGGAGGAGGTGGAAGATGCGACTGAATGCGGTCCCCAAAAGAAATAAAAGAGGGGAATTTAATAATATCACGCTCAACAGCCTCCACAAGCCGACTCGAGCTTCCGAATGTCCCAAGTGCTGTCATGTGAAGCAGGCATCATTTGGAAGGAACCACTAACCAGATTGGGGACCATTTTCCAATTTACTCCCATTTCTCCCTCCCCACCGCTCAAGCACCAAATCATTAAACTCCTTAACTCTTTCTTTGTTTTTTTTTATTACAAAAATAACTCCTTTTTCCCCACTCTTATAGAAAAAATTGATGTCATAAAAACCTAATTTACTTGACACTCAACTTGATTTTAGAAAGTTAGTGTTGAGCCTTGAAAAGCATGGTGGTATTGCGTATTGGCGCCTCCCGTTTTTAATAGAAGACAAATTTTTAAAGCTTTTTGTTTTTGGTATAGAATAAACTTAGGGTGATTAATATTTTTTTACATTTATTATTATTTGAATTTTTAGACAATAGTTTATTATGATGGGTGTATGAACAAATTACTCCTGAACTTGAAATTAAATAGCACTATGGATTTGAAATTATTTATTGTACAAATTATTTTCTTAACTTTTAAAAATGGTGTAATTTAACTCTTATTATTAACAAAAATTGATTTTGCTCGTTAATTAACTAGGAAATAACATAAAATGACCTCAAAATTTATAAAAAAGGACAAAAAAGTTTCAATGCAAGGCCCAAAAATTGTAAACAATGACATAAAAAGTTATAAAAAAGGATTAAAAATTTTTTCCATATTTTTTATAATTTTTTTTTTGTCAACTCACAGTCAAGGTTAATTTTGTTGACAATAGGGGTCAAATTGTACCATTTTTAAAAATTGAGAGAACAATTAGCATAATAAATAAATTTAAGATCCATATGATGGCATTGAAACTGGAGTTTATGAGGTAATTTTCTCATTTTATCCTATTATGATTATGAACTGCAAACAAAGACAAGATAAAAGGGTTAGATATGTTTTAACAATTTCAAGAATATACCTACCATTTCTTAATAAGTTTGAAATTGATTAAGTTCAACTTGCATTGAGGATAAGAGGCAGTATTTATATGTAAATGTATCTATTTTATAATCACCTCGTGTTAGTGGGGCAAGAAGGGCATATATATTTTAGGACCATGGTCCTTTTATGAAGTCCTAAAAACTTAATTTAACTAAAATCTTCATGTCCAATGATCTTTGCAAGAAAAAAAAATTTCGACTCAAATAAAGTTTTTTTATAACTCCTTTCAACTAAATTTTCAACTTAATAAAATAATATGATTTCAGTACTAGCAAATTTTAAACTGACCAAATACAAGTTAAGAGTAAAAACTTCTCAAACTCAAATAAAATAATTCATAACCACTTTTAATTCAATGCAAGCGGAGGAGAAAATTATTTGGATGAACTCAATATTTAAGCAACATAATTGAATGACGTTGTCATGTTATAGATTTATTATGGACTTACTTAATTATATTTTTTAAGGCTTAATCTTATGTATAATAGTTTTTTACTTTAAATTTATTTATTAAATATTTTAATTAAAAAATTTTAGGATCGATCCTAAAAAGTAAAAACTAAGGCCGAGCTTAGAAAAATATAGAAATGCATTCTGTGCTCATTAGTTCTGTAGAGCACCGTGCGCTCATCATTGGTGTGGGAAGATCTGAGCCATTTATTTCTCTTCAAATGATCCCATTGACTTAAAATTATTTTTAAAAATATTTTAATATTATATTTATAAAAATAATATATATAAAAATTATAATATTAAATATGAACTATTTTTTATGTTATTGGAGGATAAATATTACAATACTCATCACCCCTGATAAGATTTAGATTATCCAAATTTAAACATTTTACTTTTATTTTATATTTATTAAAATAAAAAACATGTAAAAAACGTATTTAATATATTTTTTATCACCAATCTGGTTAGTAAATATTTAATTTGAGTGATCCAGTTTAATATTATTTCTTAATAAATTTTATAAATTGACTATTAAAATATACTCTGAACAGTACAGATATAATTCAAAAGGTTCAATTTAGTATTAAAAATTTTATAATTTTAATTAATTGATCATCTAAATAAACTTTGGATAGTTCATATTTAATATTATATTTTTTTATAATTTTTATTTTAATAAATTTAATATAAAAATATTTTTAAAATAATTTTAAATCAACAGTAGATATCATTTAAAAAAACTGAAGGGCCCAAATCATTCCATTGGGACAATGAGCACGGTGCTCTTCAGCATTGATGAGCACCAAATGCGATCCCAAAAAATATAACCCCAAATATTTTAGGGATTTTGAGCTAGGGTTTTTTAGGCATCAATCCTAATTCCCAACTTTACTGGTGGTGAGGAACCTATGTCTTATCCCGACTAGAGCACTATAGTTAATAGCTCAAGTTGTAAACATCCGGTCACCCCAACCATCTCAAACTTAACCTCCACCGTGCCAGGGATGCCAGGTAACGTTCTTTTAACATTTTTGATGTCATTGCAAATATATTTTTCCAAACAAATTAATTTTTGCATAATAATCTCAAATTATAAAATACTTTTAAATAAAATTACACATACCAATAAAACTTATTAAATACACTTTACAACTTAATATTATAGAATGAATATAATAAAAAGGATAACATTGAAAAAGCATCACTAATAACATTTTATTTTTATCAAAATGTCTTATGTTTTAGAATGTTCCATCTGTCCTAACAGTGACTTATATATAAATTGGGATGGGAGGAGTATATTATAATAACTAACCATATTGGTATTGGGATAATAATTAACATTTGGGAATATTTAAAAACCATAGTTAGGTCTCTTACGACTTGAGTGTATTTTTAATTATGGTGTAAAGACAATACTACCTTTACTTTTAATGTATTGTCAATTAATTATTGAATATATGAAATTAAAGTTGTAAAGATTTAAAGTGATAGGTGTAAATTATTAAAAAATAATTATAAATAATTAGTGTTAAATTTTGTTAGTAACATATAATTGGTTTAACTATTAAATATGCAAAGTTTATAGTTGTAAAATATTTAAATGATAGTTTTATAGTTTATAAATTCTTGATAAATAGTTGTAAATAATTAGTATTAAGCTTTGTTAGTACCACATTATTAGTTTAACTATTAGCTATGTAAAATTATAGTTGTAAAATATTAAAATAATAGTTATAAATTACTTATTAGATAGTCACATGCAATTAGCATTAAATTTGTAACGCATGATAAATTCAATTATTAGAGGGAGTATTTATTGCTTAATATCAGTTCGTGATAGAAAATCATCTAGCGCTCCGGGGTTGCGTTTGACTAGTCAAGAGCTTTACCATGGAACTTCACTAATATTCATATTGGCCGGCTCCTTAGTTGCCCGCAAAACGAAATCATTTGAAAACAGAGTCGAAGACAAATTGAATCACAAGCTATTATCATTTGATAATATATAAAATTTTAAATGTAGTCGCCCATCACTTAAAAAATTTTATCTTGGATAAATACTGTAATAGCAGTAAGACCTTTGACAATTTACCATGAGTTGTTTATCTTTTAAAGAAATTAAGGAAATTAATTATTTGCAAACGCAAAGCTACGTAACTATATAAAAAAAAATGAAAAAGCATGGGATCATGATGTTCAACAACGGGTGTTGTCCCTGCCTTTGTCACAAAATGAAAATAAGGCAGCTGCATGCGTGTGTGCATAAAGTCAAAAGACTTCGATTTTTTTTTTTTTTAAAAAGAGTCAAAAAGACTTAAAGGATACATGCAAGTGCGATGTCATGGTCCCTTTTACGCAAAGCGAAACTTGATGGGCAAGTTAGGAATAAAGAAGATTCGCTGGTAGCATTAAGCAGTAAAGCTCGCAAGTCCGAACTAGTTTCACTGCGCTCCGTCCAACATCAGGGGCTTGTTTCGTAAATCTATTGTTGATGCTATTGAGGAAAATAAATGGAATCCTATTAAGCTCTCAAGTGATAGTCCACTTATCTCCCACCTCTTCTTTGTTGACGACCTTGTTTTATTTGGAAAGGCTACTTCTTTTCAAGTAGATATTATTAAAGAGTGTATTGATAGGTTTTGCATTGCTTCAGAGCAAAAAATGAACAAGTTAAAAAACTAAGGTTTGCTTCTCTAAATCTGTCCATTTTGCTAGAGCTTATGACCTTAGCAAAAATATGGGGGTTAGTTTGACAAGTGATCTGAGTAAGTATTTATGCATTTTTCTTATCCATAAGAGAGCCTCATACTTGATGTTTGCCCCAATTCTTGAAAAAAAAAAAAAAAGGATCATCAGTTATCTAATTGGAAAGGCAGGCTTTTGAATATGGCTAGGAGCCACTCTAATCAAGGCTATCCTATCAGCTATTTCTTCTTATCATATGTAAACAATGCTATTCCCAAAAATATTTTTGAGCGAAATTGAACAAAGAAGTAGAAGTTTTCTCTGGGGTGATTCTGCATAAGCTAGGAAATTGCATCTAATTTCTTGGGATTGCATATTGAAGGAGAAGAAGGCAGGTGGGCTTGGTATTAAAAAT